TCAGTAGTGCTTTTCAGGTTAGTAGTGATCTTCAGGTCAGTAGTGATCTTCAGGTCAGTAGTGCTCTACAGGTCAGTAGTGTTCTGCATGTCAGTAGTGGTCTACAGGTCAGTAGTGGTCTGCATGTCAGTAGTGGTCTAAAGGTCAGTAGTGATCTACAGGTCAGTAGTGCTTCTCAGGTCAGTAGTGGTCTAATAATAATAATAATAATCCTTATTTGTAGAGCACTTTTCAAAAACAAGTTACAAAGTGCTTTAACAAGTGTAAAGAATAATACAAAAAAAAGATAAGAGCTTGAAAATTAGGTCAGTAGTGGTCTACAGGTCAGTAGTGGTCTATAGGTCAGTAGTGGTCTGCATGTCAGTAGTGATCTACAGGTCAGTAGTGGTCTACAGGTCAGTAGTGGTCTACAGGTGAGTAGTGCTTTTCAGGTCAGTAGTGGTCTACAGGTCAGTAGTGGTCTACAGGTCAGTAGTGGTCTGCATGTCAGTAGTGGTCTGCATGTCAGTGGTGGTCTACAGGTCAGTAGTGGTCTACAGGTCAGTAGTGGTCTACAGGTCAGTAGTGCTTTTCAGGTCAGTAGTGGTCTACAGGTCAGTAGTGCTTTTCAGGTCAGTAGTGGTCTACAGGTGAGTAGTGGTCTACAGGTGAGTAGTGCTTTTCAGGTCAGTAGTGGTCTACAGGTCAGTAGTGGTCTGCATGTCAGTAGTGGTCTAAAGGTCAGTAGTGATCTACAGGTCAGTAGTGCTTTTCAGGTCAGTAGTGGTCTACAGGTCAGTAGTGCTTTTCAGGTCAGTAGTGCTCTACAGGTCAGTAGTGATCTTCAGGTCAGTAGTGGTCTGCATGTCAGTAGTGGTCTACAGGTCAGTAGTGGTCTGCATGTCAGTAGTGGTCTGCATGTCAGTAGTGATCTACAGGTCAGTAGTGGTCTACAGGTCAGTAGTGGTCTGCATGTCAGTAGTGGTCTACAGGTCAGTAGTGGTCTACAGGTCAGTAGTGGTCTACAGGTGAGTAGTGCTTTTCAGGTCAGTAGTGGTCTACAGGTCAGTAGTGCTTTTCAGGTCAGTAGTGCTCTACAGGTCAGTAGTGCTTTTCAGGTCAGTAGTGGTCTACAGGTCAGTAGTGCTTTTCAGGTCAGTAGTGGTCTACAGGTAAGTAGTGGTCTACAGGTCAGTAATGCTTTTCAGGTCAGTAGTGTTCTACAGGTCAGTAGTGGTCTACAGGTCAGTAGTGTTCTACAGGTCAGTAGTGGTCTACAGGTCAGTGGTGGTCTACAGGTCAGTGGATGGCTGCAGGTCAGTGGTGGTCTACAGGTGAGTAGTGCTTTTCAGGTCAGTAGTGTTCTACAGGTCAGTAGTGGTCTACAGGTCAGTGGTGGTCTACAGGTCAGTGGATGGCTGCAGGTCAGTAGTGCTTTTCAGGTCAGTAGTGCTCTACAGGTCAGTAGTGCTTTTCAGGTCAGTAGTGTTCTACAGGTCAGTAGTGTTCTACAGGTCAGTGGTGGTCTACAGGTCAGTAGTGGTCTACAGGTGAGTAGTGCTTTTCAGGTCAGTAGTGTTCTACAGGTCAGTAGTGGTCTACAGGTCAGTGGTGGTCTACAGGTCAGTGGATGGCTGCAGGTCAGTAGTGCTTTTCAGGTCAGTAGTGCTCTACAGGTCAGTAGTGCTTTTCAGGTCAGTAGTGTTCTACAGGTCAGTAGTGCTTTTCAGGTCAGTAGTGGTCTACAGGTCAGTAGTGATCTACAGGTCAGTAGTGCTTTTCAGGTCAGTAGTGTTCTACAGGTCAGTAGTGTTCTACAGGTCAGTAGTGCTTTTCAGGTCAGTAGTGGTCTACAGGTCAGTAGTGATCTACAGGTCAGTAGTGCTTTTCAGGTCAGTAGTGGTCTGCATGTCAGTAGGTCAGTAGTGGTCTGCATGTGGTGAGTAGTGCTTTCAGTAGTGATCTTCAGGTCAGTAGTGCTCTACAGGTCAGTAGTGGTCTTCAGGTCAGTAGTGGTCTACAGGTCAGTAGTGCTTTTCAGGTTAGTAGTGATCTTCAGGTCAGTAGTGATCTTCAGGTCAGTAGTGCTCTACAGGTCAGTAGTGGTCTGCATGTCAGTAGTGGTCTACAGGTCAGTAGTGGTCTGCATGTCAGTAGTGGTCTAAAGGTCAGTAGTGATCTACAGGTCAGTAGTGGTCTACAGGTCAGTGGATGGCTGCAGGTCAGTAGTGCTTTTCAGGTCAGTAGTGCTCTACAGGTCAGTAGTGCTTTTCAGGTCAGTAGTGTTCTACAGGTCAGTAGTGCTTTTCAGGTCAGTAGTGGTCTACAGGTCAGTAGTGATCTACAGGTCAGTAGTGCTTTTCAGGTCAGTAGTGTTCTACAGGTCAGTAGTGTTCTACAGGTCAGTAGTGCTTTTCAGGTCAGTAGTGGTCTACAGGTCAGTAGTGATCTACAGGTCAGTAGTGCTTTTCAGGTCAGTAGTGGTCTGCATGTCAGTAGGTCAGTAGTGGTCTGCATGTGGTGAGTAGTGCTTTCAGTAGTGATCTTCAGGTCAGTAGTGCTCTACAGGTCAGTAGTGGTCTTCAGGTCAGTAGTGGTCTACAGGTCAGTAGTGCTTTTCAGGTTAGTAGTGATCTTCAGGTCAGTAGTGATCTTCAGGTCAGTAGTGCTCTACAGGTCAGTAGTGGTCTGCATGTCAGTAGTGGTCTACAGGTCAGTAGTGGTCTACAGGTCAGTGGATGGCTGCAGGTCAGTAGTGCTTTTCAGGTCAGTAGTGCTCTACAGGTCAGTAGTGCTTTTCAGGTCAGTAGTGTTCTACAGGTCAGTAGTGTTCTACAGGTCAGTGGTGGTCTACAGGTCAGTAGTGGTCTACAGGTGAGTAGTGCTTTTCAGGTCAGTAGTGTTCTACAGGTCAGTAGTGGTCTACAGGTCAGTGGTGGTCTACAGGTCAGTGGATGGCTGCAGGTCAGTAGTGCTTTTCAGGTCAGTAGTGCTCTACAGGTCAGTAGTGCTTTTCAGGTCAGTAGTGTTCTACAGGTCAGTAGTGCTTTTCAGGTCAGTAGTGGTCTACAGGTCAGTAGTGATCTACAGGTCAGTAGTGCTTTTCAGGTCAGTAGTGTTCTACAGGTCAGTAGTGTTCTACAGGTCAGTAGTGCTTTTCAGGTCAGTAGTGGTCTACAGGTCAGTAGTGATCTACAGGTCAGTAGTGCTTTTCAGGTCAGTAGTGGTCTGCATGTCAGTAGGTCAGTAGTGGTCTGCATGTGGTGAGTAGTGCTTTCAGTAGTGATCTTCAGGTCAGTAGTGCTCTACAGGTCAGTAGTGGTCTTCAGGTCAGTAGTGGTCTACAGGTCAGTAGTGCTTTTCAGGTTAGTAGTGATCTTCAGGTCAGTAGTGATCTTCAGGTCAGTAGTGCTCTACAGGTCAGTAGTGGTCTGCATGTCAGTAGTGGTCTACAGGTCAGTAGTGGTCTGCATGTCAGTAGTGGTCTAAAGGTCAGTAGTGATCTACAGGTCAGTAGTGGTCTACAGGTCAGTGGATGGCTGCAGGTCAGTAGTGCTTTTCAGGTCAGTAGTGCTCTACAGGTCAGTAGTGCTTTTCAGGTCAGTAGTGTTCTACAGGTCAGTAGTGCTTTTCAGGTCAGTAGTGGTCTACAGGTCAGTAGTGATCTACAGGTCAGTAGTGCTTTTCAGGTCAGTAGTGTTCTACAGGTCAGTAGTGTTCTACAGGTCAGTAGTGCTTTTCAGGTCAGTAGTGGTCTACAGGTCAGTAGTGATCTACAGGTCAGTAGTGCTTTTCAGGTCAGTAGTGGTCTGCATGTCAGTAGGTCAGTAGTGGTCTGCATGTGGTCAGTAGTGCTTTCAGTAGTGATCTTCAGGTCAGTAGTGCTCTACAGGTCAGTAGTGGTCTTCAGGTCAGTAGTGGTCTACAGGTCAGTAGTGCTTTTCAGGTTAGTAGTGATCTTCAGGTCAGTAGTGATCTTCAGGTCAGTAGTGCTCTACAGGTCAGTAGTGGTCTGCATGTCAGTAGTGGTCTACAGGTCAGTAGTGGTCTGCATGTCAGTAGTGGTCTAAAGGTCAGTAGTGATCTACAGGTCAGTAGTGCTCTACAGGTCAGTAGTGGTCTACAGGTCAGTAGTGCTTCTCAGGTCAGTAGTGGTCTAATAATAATAATAATAATCCTTATTTGTAGAGCACTTTTCAAAAACAAGTTACAAAGTGCTTTAACAAGTGTAAAGAATAATACAAAAAAAAGATAAGAGCTTGAAAATTAGGTCAGTAGTGGTCTATAGGTCAGTAGTGGTCTGCATGTCAGTAGTGATCTACAGGTCAGTAGTGGTCTACAGGTCAGTAGTGGTCTACAGGTGAGTAATGCTTTTCAGGTCAGTAGTGGTCTACAGGTCAGTAGTGGTCTACAGGTCAGTAGTGGTCTGCATGTCAGTAGTGGTCTACAGGTCAGTAGTGGTCTACAGGTGAGTAGTGCTTTTCAGGTCAGTAGTGGTCTACAGGTCAGTAGTGCTTCTCAGGTCAGTAGTGGTCTATAGGTCAGTAGTGGTCTGCATGTCAGTAGTGGTCTACAGGTCAGTAGTGTTCTACAGGTCAGTAGTGCTCTTCAGGTCAGTAGTGGTCTACAGGACAGTAGTGCTCTACAGGTCAGTAGTGCTCTTCAGGTCAGTAGTGCTCTACAGGTCAGTAGTGGTCTGCATGTCAGTAGTGGTCTACAGGTCAGTAGTGCTCTTCAGGTCAGTAGTGGTCTACAGGTCAGTAGTGGTCTTCAGGTCAGTAGTGGTCTACAGGTCAGTGTAATGTCCTTAAGGATCCGACTACTTGAGACACATTTGTTCCGCCATATCGTTGCAAGGATTATTACTATGATTATTGTAGACTTTTTGTTTAGAGGGGGGCCATAGGGGGTCCAAGGTCTGTGTTACAGGGGCACTGTAATGGAAAGTGACAGTATTTCTGCAGCTGGTGAAAGAGTCTGGCTGTTTTCCAACTCGGCCAGAGGCCCAGTGTCATTTGCATTAGTAGAATTAGTAGAATTATTATTATTAATAGAAACTTTCAGATCAAAAGGTATTTGCCTGATTTTGTCTGCAGCTCCTGAACATCTGTCAGACGCACCGTTAACACTCAGCTGTGCAGAGACCTTTGGAGGGGCAGGTGCTCACTGTATAAAAAAGGCACGTATACAGAAACGTATCGTCAAGTATTCGTTGCTGATACACGTCTAGATGCGAATGCTTCTGTATCAATACAGCAGCAAATGCTGTGACACAGAAAAATAAACACAGAAGAGAAAAGACCATTTAAAGTTTAAAACGTAAAGACTATTTTCTTTGCACCTGTTTAATAACTCTGGGATTAGAAACTGAAGTGTCTGAAGTTGCCCAACATTAAAGCTGATGATACACGGAGCAACTTTTAGAGCAACGGTGCTGGGCAATATTGCCCTCAGTGGTAATGAGTAAAGATTACTACTGTAATCCCTCCCCCCACTGCTCCGCCACCCATCCCGCCCTGCCGCTGTCTGTTCAAAACATAGTCGGACTTGCCATCAAAAAGTTGCCTCATGTATCATCAGTTTAAGGCTTTGCTGCTGCTGCTGCTGGAGGTAATCTGAGACTAGAGATACTGAAACACACTCAGGAGATATATCAGCTGATTAAACCTTCGTTATGTGGCCGTGACAGGATGTAAAGATGCTGACTGATGTGGTTGAATCACTGTGACTGACCTGCTGCAGCTGCTGCCAATAAGAGGGAGACGCTCACAGAGACGGCTGCACAGCGAGAGCTGCAGGGACAGAACAGAAGATACCAGGTTCAGAAAAGAGAGGGAAACTCTACTGGGGGAGAGGATGAGGGAGGCCATGGCAGGGGGAGAGTGAGACAGAGCAGCGGCTGTGTTTACAGTATGCATCACTGCCATCAGGATTTCATCTATTAGATTGTAACTGAAATCTATTTGGATTTAGTTTAACTATATGTCTGAGATGTGTGTGTGTTTATTCCAAGAAGGTCCAACTGCAGACCGCTTCTGATGCAGGCTCCTCTGTCAGGACAGGAAACGCATGTACAAAATACAAAATTAAATTGTGGATTAGACAGGAAACACATTCAAAAATTATAGGGGGGGGGGGGGGGGGATTTTGTTGTTGATTTATATTCAATTAATTAATCAACATTGTGAGTGAAAACCAGCAGGCTAATTCCTTAATATAGCATATTGATTTGAGCCTATTCTGTCTACTGTCTCACTCACCCATACCTCTCTCGCTCTCTCTCTCTCATGAACACCGCAGCACAAACCTGTCCAACACAACGCTGTCAGTGTCGGAGACCCAGCTCAAAAACGTTATTAGCCAGCATGCAAGGAGCCCAGCTAATAAGGAGAGCTAAGTTTTTCAAGGCTAGCTGTGGGAAACACTGCACACACTTCTCCTTCATAATGTCCCTTTGAAGAGTAATATATACTACGGCATTTGGAAAACGTGTTTATTTTAGCCTGTTTATCTTATTAATGTAAATAATTTCAATGAAAATACATATATGATTAAAAATAATGGTTGTTGGTAAATGAATTAGTGACCCCCACAGATGCAGATGAACCCTGCTGGACTATGTGGACTATCAACTGTAAAATCTGTAAGATACAACATGTATACCTTTATCGATCATTTTGTAAATATCTCATTTTAAAAAATGAACGGAGACAACAGCCTACTGTAATAATACTTTTACTGTATTGACTGTACACACACAGATTACACAGTTAGAAAAGGAGCTGGCAGCAGTGCCTGATTTGCATTATGCAAAACATTAAAATAAAGTCTGAATGCATGAGTCTCAGCATGTTATATCAAAATATCTACCACTATAAATATTTGTACATCTAAATCATGCAAATTAGGATCTGCTTACAGTGGCTGTGTTAAGCCCCCGAAGATCTATGGGCGGAGTTAGTTTCTTTTGTGGATAACAAACTGTTTATATAACCGTGTGTGTTAAATCTCTCCCTGCTCCTAAACAGCTGATTCAAACTATCAACTCGTTGAAGTCGTTGGGGGAAACTTTCTCCAGGAGGGGTTGGGAAACACTGTCGTAGTAACGCTACATAAACTTCAATTCAACTAAGATGAATTCATACAGCCAGCAAAGTCTTTGCACGCCGTTTAAGTGTGAAAAAGCTACACCGAACGGTCTAAACAATTTAGATCTTTATTTTATCTTCTTTTGGACAAATAACTAACCTGTGCATCATAGTGTGTAATATTTCTGAGGTTCTATCGACAGAAATGCAATATAAGATCCATAACTATGTTTTCAGTGGTGTGTAAAGACCTCACATAATGAAGAGTTATGTTTTTATTACCCTAAAATGAGCCATTTATACCTCCATAACCGTGGCAGCCCCTTCTATGGAGGTAATAATAATAAGCCGACAGCCTGTGGATCTTTATACCATGAAGCCAGAGGGAGTCGAGACAGATACAGACAGCTGACGGCAGAAATCACCGATGTGGATTTTCCAGATGGAAGGCTGTAATGTTGGACAGATGTTTTCAAAGCGGTGCTGAAGTTGCCTGTTTTGTGCTGGACAGGTAATTAACTTAAGTTTGTCAGACTTTAGCGATGCAAATGAAAGCTGTTGTTTGAGAGCTTTAGCTTGAAGCTGGCCATGATCACCGAGAGAGGTGAGGTGTTCCCCAGTCAATATGTAGTTGCATTAACTCATGTCGCCTTCTTATTCTCCAGCCTGTGGGTCGGCGGTTTATAACGGACTGTGGTGCAGAAACAGTGAGCTCACATTGTCCTGGTATCTGTCAGTGTTCATACTTGATACACTAGATGTGATAGTGTTTGAGATGTTCTTCATTTACTTTGGTGTGTTAGTCCAGATGAGCCAACCCTCCCAACATGTAAAATTCTGTATTACAGGAGTATGAGACATCATGCAGCACTTCATTTCTTCATGTGGCTGTTTATTAATGAACAAGTAACAATAATATTTTGAAGAAAAACGTGTTTTACTGGATAATTAAGTAATCTATCTAAAGAAACCTGATTTATTGACTGGCAAACCTGCTATCTCACAGATGACATCTTTGTCCTGTCAGGCACCGTACCTATTCCGCTCGCTTAGATGGGGGGGGGGGGGATGAAATTCTTCTAATTCTACTTTTCGTGTCATTTTATCAGGATCCCTGCAGCAGCAGCATAAACGTTGGCTGTTCTCACCGAGGTCCATTCTGTTCTGTAGCTACAAATAAAATCCAATAAAAAAATTATTAAATTATGCCATTTTTAAATATATTTTAACTGAAAATATTTGAAAGAACACATTAACCTGTTTCTAGTATCTGATTTCTAATCTCTCTCTCTCTGCCTGTAACTCTGTTCTGACTTTACTTGTCAACAGTTTCATAATCCCGCCCCCCCGCAATTTCCGCCTATGTGACAGAAATAATTTGTGTCAGCTCTAACTCTCCCAGCAAACCTCCTGAAAACCAAAGAGCAGCAGCGTGCTGGTCATCAAACCTTCAGCCTGTAAGAAGTGAAATGCAGCCAGAGGGATCAGAGCAGTCCTGCTCAGACCGCTTCAGACCTCTGCTCGGTCTTACCTGGAGGAGCTGCGTGGGGCGCGAGGCAAACCTCTTTCTCTCAGTCCACTGATCAGAGACAAAAACCCGCAGGCGGCGGCTCGTCCGGGTCAGAAAGTGTCTGAACTGTTTCTGAGGTCCTGGACCAGAAGGAGGGGCCGACTCAAGATGGAGGCACGTGTAGTCGTATTTTGAGACGCTAACGAAAATGTGGCATTACTGCAAACTTTTCTTAAATTAGTCACTCCAAAGTAAGTAGATGGATATCTTTGAAGAAGACCTTTCTCGTTAATAATTCGCCGTTGTCTACACTTAAAAGTTCTAAATTTAGAACTTCAAGAAGCGCTGCTAAAGTTGATTGAGTTGACATCCAACGATGGAAAACTCAAGCAAAGAGGAGCTTCTTATGCTGGAAGATATGTATGGAACATCCAAAGTGACAGAACTGAATGAAAGAATAAATAAATGGGAAATAAATGCAAGAAAGAATGAATGAGTAAAAGAATAAATAAATAAATGGGAAATATATCAAAGAAAGAATGATGAATAAAACAATAAATAAATAAATGTGGAATATATCAAAGAAAGAATGAATGAATAAAAGAATGAATACATACATTTGCTTTTGCCTTTCCCCAAGGAGACCTTTGTCATTGCTTTTTCCTTCCTCTTCCTTAACTGTCAATCAACGTGTTGTGGCCCGCCCACTAAGTCAGGTCGAGCAGCCGATGACTGATACTATCTTCAGTGTGGATATGATGTCTCTGGAAGAGTGTTATGATTGGTAGAAAGTTTAGAAGGAGTTATGCTGCATTCAAGACCGGTCGGAACTGGGATATTTCCCAGTTGAAACTTCCGACTTCCCACATCAAAGCGTTCCAGGTGCATGGTAGTGCATGACACCGAAAGTGAACGAAAACCATGGCTAACTGTGACAACGTGTACACACAGTTGCACCCTCAGCTGTTTTAGGTGTTAATTAAAAGGATGGCAGTTTAACTGCAACAACTTATATAACATAAATAGCCTATAGTTACTAGTTAAAGGTTCAGTGTATATATATCTGAGGATCTATTGACAGAAATGCAAAATAATATCCAAACTATGTTTTCAGTGGTGTATAAAGACCTTGCATAATGAACCCTTATGTTTTTACACGAGGCATCCCCTGCTGTAGAGGTCGACATATTGTGGTTATCATGTTTCTACTCTAGCCTACAGCGAACAAACAGCGCTTTCGTCACTACCTTGAAAGAGAAGCAACAGAAGAAGCAGCAGCAGAAGAAGTAGGAGCAAGAGCAAGAAGAAGTTGTACATTTCTAACTACTATGTAGTAGTAGAAGCTCTCCTTTATTAGTAGTGGAATTTTGGACAAATGAAGGACCACAGCTATTATTAGCACAAGAGCCAACGAGGGTGAATCTGCTTCGAAGAGTGAAAGCGTGATGAAGCCGACGCGGGAGCGACGCAGGCAGAAATCATGGTTAAACATCGGTGGGCTTTTCCCAGATGGAAGAAGGGTCTAATGAGGGAAAAATGTTTTCAAAGCGACACCGAAGATGCCAGTTTTCTGATGGACAGGTAAGGTAACGTTATTCCAACTTTAACAATGCAAATGAAAAACTGTTGTTGATAATGCTAGCATTAGCCAGAAGCTAGCCATAGACACCGTGAGAAGTGACTTTTCCCTTGTCAGTTGTGTAAAATATGTAGTTGGATAGTTCATGTGGTTCTCTCCGTCGCTGTGTTATGGCTTTGCTATGTGGGGATAAATGTGCCGGTACGTTCGTGAGACAATCGCTGATTAGTATTATTGACCGCAAAAGTTAGCCTACAGTTAACAGCTCATATTAGCCAGCTACAGTGGGGGAAATAAGTATTTGACCCTTGCTGATTTTGCAGGTTTGCCCACTTACAAAGAATGCAACAATCTACAATTTTAATCATATGTACATTCTAACAGTGAAAGACAGAATCCCAAAGAAAATTCCAGAAAATCACATCATATGAATTTATAAAAATTGATAACCATCTGATGAGGAAAAACAAGTATGACCCCCTACCAAACAGCAAGTATTCTGGCTCCTACAAGCCAGTTAGTCTTTCTTTAAGACACAGCCCCAATCCCAACCAATTATCTACATCAAATACACCTGCCTCACCTCGTTACTGTATAAAAGACACCTGTCAACACCCAAACAACCAGCATCCAACATCACCACCATGGGCAAGACCAAAGAGCTTTCTACGGACATCAGGGACAAGATTGTTGATCTGCACAAGGCTGGGATGGGCTACAAGAGAATCGGAAAGCAACTTGGAGAGAAAAGATCAACTGTCGGTGCAGTTATCAGGAAATGGAAGAAGCACCACACCACCGCCAACCTCCCTCGGTCTGGGCCTCCACACAAGATCTCGCCTCGTGGGGTGTCCCTGATCATGCGAACGGTGAGGAATCATCCCAAAACCACAAGGGGGAACTGATGAATCAACTGAAGGCAGCTGGGACCACAGTTACAAAAGAAACGGTTGGTAACACACTACGCTGTCATGGATTGAAATCCTGCAGCGCACGCAAGGTCCCCCTGCTCAAGAATAACATGTACAGGCCACGCATGAAGTTCGCCATTCACCACCTGGACGACTCAGAAGAGGCCTGGAAGAAGTGATGTGGTCAGATGAGACCAAAATAGAACTTTTTTGGCCTCAACTCGTCGTGTTTGGAGGGCAAAGAACACCGAGTACAACCCAAGAACACCATCCCCACCGTCAAGCATGGTGTGGCAACATCATGCTTTGGGGGTGCTTTTCAGCCAAGGGGACGGGACAACTCTATTGAGGGAGGATGGACGGGCCATGTATCGTGGAATTCTGGACCAACATCTCTTCCCTCAGTGAGAGAGCTGAAGATGGGTCGAGGATGGGTGTTTCAGCACGACAACGACCCTAAGCACACCGCCAAAGCAACCAAAAGAGTGGCTGAAGAAGAAGCCATCAAGGTTCTGGAGTGGCCTAGCCAGTCCTCCAGACCTGAATCCAATTGAAAATCTTTGGAGGGAGCTTAAAATTCGAGTTGCCATGCGACAACCTCGGAACCTGAATGATTTGGAGGCTGTCTGCAGGAGGAGTGGGCCAACATCCCTGCCGAAATGTGCACAAACTTGTCACCAACTATAAAACCGTTGACATCTGTGCTGGCCAATAATGGCTTTTCTACAAAAATTAACATGCTGTTCGTCCAGGGGTCAATACTTGTTTTTCCTCATCATATGGTTATCAATTTTTATAAATTCATATGATGTGATTTTCTGGAATTTTTCTTTGGGATTCTGTCTTCACTGTTAGAATGTACATATGATTAAATTGTAGATTGTTCATTCTTTGTAATGGGCAAACGTGCAAATCAGCAAGGGGTCAAATACTTTTTTCCCCACTGTAAACTTTTACTACCCTGAATATGTAACATTAGTTGGATTGTTATTCGAAGTTGTTCTCCAGCGCTTCGGCTTTGTTAGTGACCAGAAATGTGTCTTTTGTGTTTTGTGAGACAATCAGCTGATGATTACAATTAGCTATAAAACCGTAACATTGCATGAGCATGGTGGCTCAGATTAGCAAGCTAAATGTTTACTGCCCTGGTGGAAAACATTTATTTTACTGCTAACAGCATTACGATAACAACACTGTGTGCTTATCAAGTGACTAATTATGCTTATTGTCAGAATTTACATTAGAAACAACGTATTTGTTTGTATTGCTTCTACGTGCAACAAAGGTTACCACAAGCTCAAATTATGGCTGTCAGTACGTATTTGTGTTATATTATATTGTAGAGCACCCTTGATCCTCACCTGACTATGGCTTTGTAAACTTACCCATGATGTGTTTATAATGGACTGTGGTCAGAAACAGGGACATTTTACACACTCTTGGCTTACGTTTTCCATGTTGTCTGTCGGTGATCATACTTGCACTGATGTGATAGTTTTTGGGATGTTCATTTATTAGCAAGATGAGCAAACCCTACAAAGATGTAAACATTGTGGATTACAGTACAGTAATGTATTACAGTCATGTAGCACTTCATTTATTGATGCTGCTGCTCTTTCTCCAGCTACGAGACAGGTCCTGCAACATCGACTCACTTGAAGAGAAAACCTTTGCAAGTCCCAGCTCCAGCATTGTCTCGCATTGGTGCTTCTAGTGGAACAGACCGGTAAGTCATGCATAACAATATATAAATTTGTCCTAATAGCTTTGATTAGAAACATGAACTTTATGATTAGTGGTTATTTTATTTTTGGTCTATATCTACTGTTGAATGCGCATATGTGGAATTTACACAACTTGCTCTGGTTATACTTACAGAGATGAGCATCTTGATGTCATGAAGCCACAGAAATTCAGGCCTTAACAAAGGTAACATGTACACATCATAACTTTGAGCCCTGTATGCTTTTCTCCAAATGTTATAATATATATTTGTAATGTTTTTGCAGCTTACATGACATGAGCATTGTTGAGGAGGACTTGGAGGAAAATGTTTTCAGTGACCCAATGAACACGTAAGTTACTTCCTAATTACATGTACTTTTTCAGTGATATTATTTGAGAACTTGTTTTTATCTGAAAGTTGTCATTATGTAAATAATTGATTTGGCAGATAAAGCTTCATCTTACTCCCTTGAAAGAGATGATGGACAGAATGGTTTCAGCTCTGATGAAGAGGATCTTCCACCGATTTCAATACAGTGTGTTATTTGTCAGTCTCAGTTTGCAATTGTTTTGTGGTGTTTGTTTACTACAGATTTTTGTGCCTCAGTAGAATGAGTGGAGCACTGAAGAAAGCACACTATCGATGGACTTCCTTGCCTGCACATGAAGACCCTCCTGATGAGCCTTCTCTCCCTGAGATCATGACCCTGTTTTCCCAGAACCACAGAATGTCCTTTGTGAAGATGACATCATAGGTGTAAGTGTAAGCCTCCATAGTGTACGAGAACTGCTTAAGACAACTGGCTACATTTCTGATCCTGCCTGTGGATAAATGCACTGGCCTTCTG